AGAAATCAACACTTTCACTGTAGCAGAATGCACCAAATGCTCTATTGCATAGCTCCAACACATAATTTCCCCTAAAATCCCATTACATGTATGTATTGGTTAAACAACAAGATTTAGAGGTGTTTGTAGGCAAAGTTTTTAACTTTGGACGGAGCCAAGCTAACTGTTTTCTCCAGTCTGTATGCTAAGCTAGGCTAACCATGTTCTGACTCCAACTCTGTACTCAATGCTAAGACACAAGATTGAAATAAATCTTATCATCAAAAAAAAAAAAAAAACCAATTAGTGTATTTCTCAAACTGTTGAATTATTCCTTTAAGTATGATCAGCTTTAGCATCATAGAATTTCTTTGAATATTCCCTGGAATTTCATTAAAGAAGAACAATAATGAAGATAATTATCTTGTAATAATTACTATGGCGAAGTCCTAAAGTATTGTTACAGGGTTTATTCATTTATTTTATATTTTGTTTGAATAGTGGAGCTTTTATTGCCAGTGGGGACTTCATATTGCAGGTTTTAAAGATTCAAATGGGTGTTTTGGGAAGAAACTTAGAAATTGTCTACATTGGTTGGAAGTTTTAATTGTGCATTTTAGTCTTACAACACTTCATGTATAATGTATACCTTTAGTCAGGGAATAGGGCCTGGAGTGAAACACATAATATATGCCGATGATTGCCATAAGCATGAAATATGAACAGCACATTGAAGTTTGGAGGATAGCAGATGAAAAACAAATACTAATAAACTGAAGCCTAAATGGAATATGTAATTATCCTTTGATTGTCTGCAGTGCTGTATTTCTCCTCTTGCCAGCAGAGACAGAACGTTTTCCTATCTACAGTATATTGTGCACGGCACTTGAGGACACTTCCAAATGCAAATGAGCACCTTTATTGAGGAATAATGCATATTCTTTTCGCTGGTGTCACCTCAGTAGCTCTCCTGGATTTGTGTGCTCAAATTTATCCAGAGATTGGACTTTTATCCCTTTGTTATGAGTTGGCTCTGTTGTGAGGCATATAAGCCTGCGGTGTAGATCATCGGATTTCCTTTCAAGAGTACAAAGTGAATTTGTTTAAAACTGAATGAAGCAAGAAATCCCTATCTCTGACCAAAACTCTGCTTGTCTGAGTCGCTTCATCCTGCCCTCCCACTCCCGTCCTCTCCGTGAAACAAATTGGACGGCAGCAGACCAATAAGTCGGCTTTAAAGAGACTCTACTCGAGGCTTGACCTTGGTGAGCGGACACACTTACTGAGGAACCGTCACTTCTGGAGGACTTC